TGTGCTGCCCAACACCAATTCAGAATAATTGGTAAGATATTGTAACAAATTAAAGAATTAACTGTCTTAAACAAATTTGTTTTAACAAAATCAATATTTTACTAACACAACTAATTTATATACAACACTTATCAACTTAATTTATCTTCACTGTTCGAATTCTTTGTTAACCGTTCGATTCGCTTTCTGAATACAGACTGCCATCTCGGGACGAGAAGCGGGCTTTATAAATCGGTAACGACCGTGCTAGATTTCTCTAGTTGTTTCGGTAGTGGCCTAGACTTTTCGCGACGACTTGTCGACTTCATTCTTTTCGCGGTGAGTCATGTGTTTATTTGCTGGCTGAAATATCGGTCAGGGTCGGCTTCAGATTCGTTACAATGCCCCTTCTTGAAGACGTTTCGCCTCCTTGGCTTGTGTCGATACCTGCAGGACTCCCCATGTCGGCACTGTGAAGTTTGATGGAAGTTACACTCCACAGTCTTCATACTCGGTCGTGGAAGATGGTTACCACACACCAAAATCTTGATGCCGCTGGATCTGAAGATCGTTTTCAACATGTTTCTCACAATTCTCCAATCCAGATTGTCGAGCCCAGAGGATAAATTCGGGATTGCCAAGTCCACAAGATTCTGGTCGAGCATCGTATCCCTCAGTCTGGTAATATTCCTCCAGACATCTTCATAGGATGGTTTGTCTCGAGAATGCTTTTTGGTCACCAAGTAGAAAATGTTTTTCTGATCCTTCTTCAACTGTAGTACTCCTCCGATTTTAGGATTCTGTTCTCGTAATGTTTGGAGCTGACCGAATTTTTTGTTGAATATCACAGGGATACCTTTGGACATTTGGAGATCCTCTCCCACGCAGTGAGCTAGTGCGTAATCAACTGGAACCTTGAAAAGGTCTCGTGGCTCTTCTCGAGTTACCCCATGTACGACCTTCTGTCCGTTCGAGTATAAGGACGTGAATGGACATCCTCTGAGGGCGCGAAATTGGTCGTGATTTCCAGCATAAGAAGCCAATCTATTAAAATGGACGACCCCAGGCTTTCCTTGAGGTCATTGATCTTTTTCATGATTTTGTATAGACTTCCAACGAGTTCCGCAACTTCGGTGATAAACCACAGCATCGCTTAGGATTGTACAGCCAAAATAGGTCACGTTTCGAATCATCCAGCATTCGCCTTGATGTCATAGGCCTTCTTCATCCTATCGCTGGCACTCATGATGTTCAGACGGACTCGTTCATGGATGTCGTCCATTCTCTACCGAAGCTTGCTGACAGAGTCTTTCCCCGCAGTGTTTTGTTCTGGCGGCGTCCCAAATTTCAGATCGCAAGGAAGCCGCAGCTCTTGGCCCATTATAATACTGGCAGGGGTTTGGCCGGTTGACTCGTGCACTGCCGAACAATGAGCCAGCAGGAACAGGTGGAGGTATTGGCCCCAGTCTCTTTGCTGGTCAGAGACTACCTTGAACAAGTGGCGGTATATGGTCTTATCCATTCGTTCCACCATACCATTGGACTGTGAATGTAAGGCTGTGGTTCTGGTCTTTAGAATGTCCAACAATTTACATATTTCCTGGAACAGGTTGGACTCAAAATTTCTGCCCTGGTCCGAATGCAGTTCCAATGGGACACCGAATCGAGATATCCATTCCTTTACCAGGACGTCAGCGACGGTAAAGGCTTCCTGGTTGGGCAGGGCATAAGCTTCTCCCACTTGCTGAAGTAGTCCATGGCTACTAGGATATATTTGTTTCTATGGTCGGACTCTGGGAACGGGCCGGCGATGTCGATGGCGATTCTCTCAAAAGGACTACCCACGTTATACTGGCGCATTGGAGCTTTCGGTCGTATCCGAGCTCCGTTACTGGCAGCACATACAGCACATTTTCTGCACCAATCCTTGACGTCGGCTTGACAATTAACCCAGTAAAACCGTTGTCTTACTTTCTGGAGGGTCTTCGTTACTGCCAGATGTCCTCCAGTGACTCCATCGAAGATTTCTTCGAGCACCTCCCGTCGTCTGTTCCTGGATACCACTGTCTGGCGCCTGTCTTCTCCACCGTCTTCAGACTCCAACACCCGCTTCAGAACCCCGTTTTCCCGTACATAATCGCTGGCGAATAACCTGCAACCTCCTGCCACGATGGTCTTTGATCACTTTTCTTTCATCTGATGACTAAACCAAGATCTGGGTCTTTCTCTTGGTCTTTCTTGATCCTTTTTTCCTCTCAGTTGTCGTCTACAGCTATAGTCCTACAAATAGCTGCTTCCTTCTCTTCTGTTCGTCGGCAATGTCAGCAGTCATCGGGGCATCTGCGATATTTGCGATATTTAAGGGACTTGCCGGATACAGGCTGACGATTGCCTCTTCTCATGGAACCTCTCTAGTTTTCTTGATTTGGTGTTGGTTCTTTGAATGCTTGAACATTTGCTACGCACATGCCCAATTTTCCCATGATTCCAGCATCTTATTTGTTTTCTTTCAGACAAAACTCTTTTCATCACCTTCCTAATAGTGGCCTCAATATCAGCAGAATCCTGTCCATCTTCCTCCATAGTTTGAACTTTGCTCTGGCCCTTGCAGGTTCGTTTTAGAGTCTCAATCTCCAGAGCTCTTGCCAGTGCATCCACGAGATGTTTGGGATGAACTAGCGTCAAGGCCTGCCTCGTTTCTTGGTCGCGAAGTCCATCCAAGAATGCCTGAACTGCTAACCGCTCCAATACATTTTTCGGTGTAGCAGAATATGTCAGATGGACCATTCGAGCTATGTCGGCTTCGAACTCCTGTAGGGATTCTCCTGATTTCTGGCAACGGATCTTCAGCTGTGAATGGTAAACGTGTTCTAGGTGTGCCTGTCCATACCGTAGCTCGAGATGAGTTGGTCATAGTCTTCCTGTCCTTGGGCCGTGAGGGTTTGCATAATATTCGTTGCTTCTCCATGCAACGCCAGTGTTAATGCTACCGCCTTTTTTTCTGCTTTCCATCCATTCGCTCTGGCTGCAGCTTCGAATTGTCGGCGGTAATTTTCACAGGGAGTTTTTCCGTCGAACTGGGGCGGATTCATGGAGAGCTTTCCTTGTTCAGAACTGCTTTTGACATCTTTCAGTTCAGAAATCGAATTTTCGGTTACAGATTCTGTAGTGTGGGCAGAATTAACGACTTAATTTTGTAACTTGTTAATTGTTTCCTTCATCTTGCTGATTTCGGTCTCAAATCCGTCTTTGATTTCATTGCCTAACTTTTTTTCCATTTTCTTCATTTCTGCTCCGATTTCATCTTTGATCTCCCCTTTGATTTCCTCTCTGATTTTGTCTATCTCTGTCTCAATGGTACCTATTCTTTCTTCGAGTAGACTCGCCACACCACAAAGTTCTTTCTTCAAGCCTTCTGCATTTTCTAGAAGCTTCTCCAGCAGGCACTTCGAATTTGGTTGAAGTTCATCTTCGAATTTTCGCGAAGCTAGTCTTCCAAACTCTTCGAATTTTCTAGAAATGTATCTTCCGAACTTTTCGAATTTTTCAGAAGCTTCTCTTCAAGGCTTACCGAATTTTGTTTGAAGTCCATCGAGTTTGCTCATTATTGAACTCAAATCACCCCCAAAAACTTCGAATATATATGTTTCGGGATCTTTTCCTGATTCAATCAAGGTATCCCATAGTCTATTCTAGAGTACTGATTTCTTTCCAGAACAATCCAGCTCTCTCTCCTCCAATTCTTGCTTCAACTAGGCGCACTTTCCTTGAACACATTTTGTCTCTCACTGTCTGTTGTCCACAAAACTGAATATGTTCACTTATTTTAATCAAGTTAGAAACACTTATTTATTTTCACAAGTCTATTTTTCGCGAGAAAGGTCTATCAGTTTATGTTTCCGTAGTCCGGTACTGTCCACTTCGCGAAACACAATGACTCACCACTCTCTCTGCATGAAAGTTTTATAGTCAATTTCACCGTAATACAAAGATTGTCCACCAAGCGTTCACAAATTCATTTTAAAAATCCACTTCTGATCACCAATTGTAACGAATTGAAAAATGAACTGTCTTAAACTAATTCATTTTTAACAATATTTCACTATCACAACTAATTTATATTTACTTAGCAACTAACGCCTAATTTATCTTCACTGTTCGAATTCTTTGTTAACCGTTCGATTCGCTTTCTGAATACAGGCTGCCATCTCGGGCCTTATAAATTGGTAACGACCGTGCTAGATTTCTCTAGTTGTTTCGGTAGTGGTCTAGACTTTTCGCGGCGACTTGTCGACTTCATTCCTTTCGCGGTGAGTCATGTGTTTATTTGATGGCTGAGATATCGGTCAGAGCCGGCTTCAGATTCGTTACAGTACTATGTGGTGGTTTACATATGTATAATCGTTGAAAAACATATACTTCAACCTGAGTGTATCAATATTGAATATACATTAATAATAAAAAATTCAAATGAAAGGATGTTATCCTATATGAAAAATATAAGAGAAACCTGGGCAAGTGAGCCCTATTGGAGCCATAATACCAGAAATATCCATAAGATGTAGACTTGGGGTTAAACTAAAGCTTGGAAGATAGCCAATCAGAACAGAAACCGTAACAAGTCCCTGGTTGAAAATCTTCCGGGTACAACAACCCTATAAATGTTTTTTTAGAAAATAACTGTCCTATACTGTCGCTAGCAACGTTTCGATATATCAATATTTGCATGTTTCATGCATAACCGACCAATCTGACCAGATTAAAGTAATGGTATGTTTGGTTGTATCTGATCAGACACCCCCAAAAGCTGACAGCTGACAGTTGAAATGTCATGAAATAGCTGACAAATAAAAATAAGCGGAAAATATCAAAACAACAATAAGCGAACAATAACCAAAACACAGACATACATATGAATCACCTACGAAAATTCCATTGAAGACAACATCGGACGCCACGTGAGTAGGATATTTTCTTTGAAATAATTTTATTTACCTTCTTTTAATCATTTTCAGATCAACACTGGTACGGAGTAAAACACTGAAAAACATATAGGGCTTTAACGTATGCAGTTTCACTGACAACAAGTTGAAATCAGAAATGAATTATTCTGATGGTGAACAAAGCATTTATAATTTTCTTTATAGTGACATCTTGTAAAATATGATTTATAATTAAAGGTGGTTTTTGAATCGAGATTCGTAATAGGATGTTTATAAGGTTTCATGTTCACTGAGAGTAGGTCACCACAGAGTGAAATCGATGTTGCTATAAAGCTTTTTGTTTAATTAACAAAATAGAGTAGCGAAAACAAAATGCTACAAAGTTGTAGATGTCAATATTCTGGAGGAATTCTACGAACGCTCTCCACTTTTCAAGGGATCCCGTCGTGCCCTCCAGCAGACGAATGAGATCGTTGAGCGACCTTAACATTTCGCTGATGTGTACCTACTAGAGATTTGAGTTTTATAAAAGCCCGGGAGATCTCTCTTTCTCTTTTTTGGTTATCATGAGATGAAGTGGTCTTTTTCCCGTTTTCATCTTGTACATATTTTTGACCTCTATCTTATGTTTCTCCTCAAGTTCATCAGCAATATCATCCACCAGCGGTTGTGCGTCTAGTAGACCTTTCACGATGAATGCGTGTGTTTTGTCCTTAGGCAGTGTGTAGTGTATTTTGCTCATTTAATGTATTTATTACTTTGTGATGATCTTCACTTTTCTTGGTGTGGGAAAGCGTTGATCGCCCTGTATACTTTGATTCAAATCCGCCTTTCAGCTTTTGTTGGATAGTTTTTTGGCTTTCTTCGTTCAAAGAGAGTATACCTTTAATGACTATTGATAGTAAAGTTTTATTTTCGTTTTCGTATTTTGTATTCCTTTTGGGTTTATTTTCAGAAGTTTCCGCTTCAGTATTGTGTGTCCATGACTTCCTAGAGTTCCTCATTTCTATTACTGGTTTCTGTTTCCGAGCTGATTGATTTTATTATTTCCACCTAGTGTTTTTTCTGGGGTGTTTAAATTCTTCGTTTTTCTGTAGAGGGAGGAATCATTTTCTTTGTATTCCAAGTTGAAAATTATTTTTGTTGGGAGACTTCAAGAATTTCATCATGGTTTCGAGCCTGTCGACCTCCGTTTTGATTTCTTTGTTGTAATATTTAGCGTAGTATTTCCTGACCACCTCAATTTGCTTGGCCATCTCCTGTGGAAATTGTACTGTAGCTTTGCAGTATAATTCCACTATTTCTTTTGTTTTGCGTTCGGCTGCTTTTTTCAGGTTTTCCACCGTAACTCGTAACTCACTCCTCATTATTTTGCGTCTGCTTTTCCTGGTGGTATAGACCTCATCTTCTTTACATTTTCCGGAGTTTTGGTTCTCTTTGATTTCTGTATTTGTCTTTCTGACTAAGAGAATTTTTTCTTTCGGAATTCTCTCTTTCTTTTTTTCTTGATTTTTTCTCACTTCCTCTTCTAAAGCGCTATTATTGCTTTCAAGTGTGCTGAGAATTGTTGATAGGTCAGGTGCATATACCTCTTTACTTGTTTCAGGGATGTTTTTGTTGAGAATATTCTTTCCCTTCAGACAGTTGGGAAAGATATTTCTGAGTTTCTCTTTTTCTCCAGATTCTGAGTTTTCCTCTTCATTATGAGTTGTGGGTATCGTAGCGTACACAGAGCTTTCTTTGTCATCATTAGAGATATTAGTGTTTCTGGTAGGCATGGCTTCTAGTAATTTATTTTCCTTTTGTGGCTGAATCTCTATATTCATCTCTTTCACAAATGTGTATGTATTTGGGACTTGGATCTCTTTCTCGAGATACAGTCCATCCCAAGTGTGTGGCTTTGGTCTGCGCTCCTCTTGAAAGAAAACCCTATCCGTAACCCATTCCGTAGGTGTGTCTATTGATTTTGCTCTTTCTTAGGCACTTTTGGGTTTTATTAATAGATTTTGAATGGCAGACCTCAACCATTGGGTGTTCTAGTACTTTTTGTCATTCATCTTTGAGCTCTCTTCATGGGGTGGGGTGTTTATCACATATGGTGCAGCTTGGGAGAGGTTTTATTTGGAGCAAGTACTCACATATGTCTTCCGTGATTTTGATTCTCTCCTAAATTTTTTGATTGAAGTATCTTTGCATGAAAGTTAATAAACCATTTTTTCCTTTGCGTCAAATTCTGCGTCGTCTGGAATCCACGAAAGTTAAAATGCTGGAACGGAGTACAATTTTTACGATGTTTCTGCTTCATCTTGATCTACAGGTATTATACCTTTTCCAATGGATTTTTCATTTGCATTGGTTGTGTCCAGAGGGGATGTATACTCCTTTTCTTGCTCAGTGACATATTTACTTCGAAATGTGTCCTGAGTATTCGGTGTTTGCAGGGCGTAAAATCCTCATGTTTTCGCTTGTAGTTAATCCTATAGGGTATCCATTAAACATGCGGCAAAAATTCAAGGGACTATTCCTTGGACTATTCTGAGGATGTTTTGTCTCATGATGATTTTTGATAGGGCGCTTTGTTTCGAAGATACGGAGCAAAAAATTTTCGACAATGACAACCAAAAATTACATGTAATGTTTCTTAATCTACAAGAGTTACAGGAATTGTTAAAATGACTACCGTTTCTGATTGCGTTACTGAGCAAATTGAATGTCTGAAACCGTTTTCTAGTTATAGAAATGTTGTTGGTAGGTACCAACGAAATTGTTAGATTTTTTATTACTTGGTAGGTCCAGTGTAGTACACTATACTTTTATTTCGGCTACGATATTAATTTTGAATTTACCAAAATTGTTATTGCCGAAATTATTTTTCGCCCCGTATTTTCGAAACAAAGCGCGCTATCAAAAATCATCAAACGACAAAATATCCTTAGAATAGTTCAAGGAATATTCAATTGTCCCTTGCTTTTTGCCACATGTTTAATAAACACCCTGTATATCCGAATCCGCATCCCGGCGGTTGTTTGGAATATTTTTTCTTACATTTTGCCTTTGGACGGAGGGCATACGTGTAGATTAAGGTTTCATTTTCATGAAATGCTCTTTGGGCGACTTGTTGCTTTCACCGAATTTCCTAGTTCATTCCATCTCAAATCTCTACACCTTCCGATAACTGTTTTCTAGGACAATGGAATGTACCCGAAACGATAAGGTTTTATGATGGATGTTTATAATCCAAAGAAATGTGTTTTTTGGAGAATGTAGCTGTAGCGAACATCACTTACAAACTTGATAGTTTGGAACATCGAAGACAGGTAGAATATTTGTATATCTCCTATAGATACTTTCACGGAAACTGTTCAAGTGACTTGGCACATTTGATTCCACTAAGAGCAGTACATATCAGATATATGCGACGGATTATGGCTGCTCATAGTTTTGAGGTTCAAATCAGTACACCTCGAACTTTACTATTTAGGAACTCTTTCATTTGCTCTCTTTCATAAACTGCGTTTATGTGGAGTGAACTTCCTGAGAACATTGTTCGAAATGTATTTAATCTCCAGCGATTCAAATCCAATGTGAATCACTACTTTCACACTTTGTTGGATTGAAGAAAAAATCAAAAATATTTCATTAACAGTATTAGAAGTACACTTGAGTACCGAAAACCTGAAAATATTTGAATATTTTATTCTTCGGAAAACGTTTGACACTGACAAAATAACATTTTTTTTTCAATTTTATTTTACTATTCGTGTTGTTGTTCTGTCGAGTTGTTGGTGTAGAAATTTGAGGCAGTCATTCAGAAAATGACAAAAAAGATACTTTTACAGTGGCATTGATTTATGTAATAACATGTTCCCTGTAAATATAATGAGAAATGGTGCTGGTTTGTCTTTGTATACTCAATCTCCACCCTTCATACTAGTGTTGCCGCCGAGACAAGAGATTCTCGACTCTTGTCTCGTCTTGTCTTGTCTAATCATGTCTCGATCGAGACAAGAGAAGATTTTCCTTTCGAAAAATTTTGTCTCGTCAAGACAAGACATAAGGTCCTCTTGGACAAGACAAGACAAGACAAGAGAGGCTTCTCTCGACAAGAGAAGTCAAGAGAGGTCGAGAGAAAAATAGTATTATAGAAATCCAATTATAATATTCTTTTGATGCAAAAATATATGGTTCATTACAATTTTTGTATTTGATAATTTCGAATCCTGACAATTGGAGTGAATGAAGGTAATAATTTGCAAATTAAGTTTTAATTGATGCTTATTTGTTTATTGATACCACCAAAATACATTTATAATGTATTATATATTTTTTGGTTAATCATACCAGCTCAATTTCAGAAGTAGTCAACTGGTAGTAGAGCTGATNAAATTTTTCAAACATTCATTGTGGTCGCATAAAGGGTTGATGGCATTTTTCATCTTGAGAGCAAGTGAAATCATGTTAGAGGTTGAATTCCAGCTGGTAGCCACATCAATAGACACAGCTGAATATTTCACGTTGAAAACTTCGCATAAATGTCTTAGATTATTAGAAAGCTGTTCAGATATTTTTATTTTTTTCATTAGTATCCTCAAACGTAATACTGGCGAACTTGCATTATCAATAAAATCAGGATCTTCATCGGATATCTCTTCGTAGTCCCCCTTATCCTCTTCGAAAGGCACTTTCATTGATTGGAGAATATCTTGTTTTGTCAGAAAGTTTTCGATTAAATAATGCCTGATATACTTATACCAGAATAATTCGAAGTTATTCACAATTAGTATACAACTGACATCACTGTTAAACGGACGAATCCAGTGCAGCGTTCAAGTACCCAAATAACCACTAAGTTTCCGTTTACTGCAAATTCTGAATACCAAGGACGTTCTCTCGCCAAGAGAAGTCGAGACAAGACAAGACAAGACAAGAGAGTGCCTGAAAAACAGGTCTCTTGTCAAGACGAGAGACCATTTTCTCTCGACTTAGTCAAGACAAGACGAGAGAAATCATTTTCTTGTCTTGTCTCGACAAGAGGCATCACTACTTCATACATCACGGTAGGTGGAGTGATTTTTGTTGTACAAGTTGGGAATATCATTCAAAAAGTTTGGTTCACAAGCTGAGTTCATGGAGTTTATACATTGTATTGCTAATTATTATAAAAAATGAAAAACGAAATTTTTAATCACTCGCATTGATCAAACATTTTTTTCTGAAAATTTTGAAACTCATTTACCATTTTCAGTTTAGTGT